ATTACTAATAATAAGAGAGTAATTCAATTATTGGAGTCTTATTGGATTCTGATTGAATTTTGGCATAAAAATATAATATGCATTTATTTGCTTCAATTTATTTTTTATATTTATGAACTTCCCCAAAGAAATGCTATTGTTTTCGCAAAAAAATCCGATTTGCTAATTTTATGTTTTCTCGGCGTTACAAGTCATTCTGAATCTTTTGAGACCAAATTTGGAAAAAGTATGTATGTGTGTATGCCGTTCGTCGACGTTCTCAAAAACGGCTAAACTGATTTTAAAAATTTAAAACCCATTCGATGTAACTCGACAAGAACTAGTGTTTACCAGTTTTGTGCGACGGTCAGACAAGCCGTTTCTTTGTTAATAGCAGAAAAGTGAAACAATTTTCATCCACGTTTTAGACCGCAATTTTGAATCGATTTTAAAAATTCTTCTGTAATGATGTATGTGAATATACTTCTCCTAAACTATTATTCGAATTTTGATAAATCTTTCTGAAGTTTGTTAAGGGAAGTTATGAATAGGAAAAATGAAATGTCTGCATTATTATTGCCAAAAAGCAGCTGAGATGTGCAGGAAATTAAAATAATATAAGATACAGTTGGAATAGCGTTGATTACTTTTTGGTAAAGATCGGCCTAGCCGTTTCTTCGTAATTAAATTTTGAAATTAATTTTTTTGAAGATTTTGATGAAACTTTGTGTAACGATAGATTTCGTAGTCTGAAATAATATACTAAAATATTGTAGTGAATAGTATAGTATAAGATATTTAAATGTATCTAATACGTATCTAATGAAATTTTAGTTTATATTTTAAACGAAAAACTGATTGTTAGCAATGACGTTAAATTTGATTCTTCTAATAAATATTAAAAATAATAATTCTAATAATAATAATAATAGTAATAGTAATTCTAAGTAATTTAATTCTTAATAATTAATAAATAGAGTAAGAAAGAATCTTAATGGAGTCTTATAGGATTTTTATTGGATTATCAAAAGGAAGTAAAATATATGCAATTGCTTTGATTCACAATGTAACTAATATTTTCTGCATGTTATTAGTAAAGTGCATATATAATGTTAAGCAAAAATTTGAATAATTTAAATATATATACAAATGACAATCAAAATGCACATATAATTAAGCTGAAATAATGATAAATTCAACAATATTTCAAGTTTGACATTGATTTGCATAGCTTGTAATCAAAGTATTTGAGTGCAAGAAATAAAACGCTCATAAGATTAAGAATAATTTACACTAGATTGCATGCATGTAAATAACAACAAATACGTAATTGTATTTTTATTTATTTGTCAAGGGCATCGCGCAGGAAAATATAGAAACACATAAAAATCCCATATCGACTCATGGAAAAAAATATGAAGATTTTTTACATCAGTTAAACTTTGCACTCTAAAAAAGGCACATAAAATAAAATTAAAGCAAAACACTTGCGCTCTATTTATGAATACGAATATAACGCAATAAAATACACAGTTCCGTACGTTTTCGTATTTTATTTTAGTCTTCAAACCAAAATAGATATGTCAGACCGTAAAATTAAATCCACGAGAGAAAAAAATAAGCGCGCGCGTGTTGGGAAATAGGAGCCCTGTCAAATGAGAAATGTCTATTTCGTGAAATATCTAAATCACCTTGTGCGTTTATATCCCGTTTTAGGACTTGGCCATCGTCAGTTTATTTGATTTATTTCTCCAAACGGAACTGTTTGTTCTTGTGAGGTTTTTATTGCACAAAACTATTTTTTATTCGTGTCAAACACAGCACATCACATAATCGTCAAAACACAAAACAAACTACTGGGCGAACACTGACATTAGCACACAAGAACTGCCAACATTCGGGGGCGCTCGATCAAACTGTTGCATGTGGTAAAAAATCAATCTCGAAAGTAATTAGATTCATATAAATCATCAATTTTCATAATTCTAGACGTATTTTGTAACATATTTGATATTTAAACACCCTTACGCCCCTAAAATAAAATCACATTAAGGTATGTAGGAGCATGGCTACCAACGTGTACCAAACATGGCAGCTGTCAAAATTTGAAACTGTCAAAGCCACAAAATTTAAATGTTGATTTCCCTATTTAAGCTGTCGAAATTTGGTAATATATAAAATTATGCAACAACAACTTTATTGTTCAATATAGTTAATTTAACTGTTTGCACAATTGCTTTTCCAATTAACATTTACTTGTAAGTTTTTAAATATCAACTGATACTGTTGTGTGTTTCAAGAACATATCTTAAAATTAAGTACTCAGTTAAATTAGTTCAATTATGCTCTTAAATTTAAATCCAGTTTAATTAGCGTTTTTTATATTATCAAAATAAATGTAAAAATATTACTAACTGTCAAACTATTTGTTTCTCGCCAACTTCATACTAAACTTGCCAGATGTCAAATCTGTCAAAAAATATGACGAATATATTACAATCTATAATTAACTCGTATTGATTTAAAACTGTACATGTAAAACTTTAATTTATTAAACAGACTATTACAAGTTAACTTATTACAAGTTATTTGAAAACTACGAGCCATTGCATTGGATACCTGAGTCAATTATACTCTTTATATTACCCCTTTCACAATGTTTTCATTTTTTCGATCAAAGAAACATTCTCCAGACAGTGATAACTCCCCAAGTGACTCAGCACCCCCAATACCACAAGCAGATGATGAATATATAATGATAGAAAAGAAAGATGATGATCCCGAGCCGAACAATCTATACCCAAACATCGATAACGAAACTGCTTACACAGTTCCCAAACAACAAACGATACACAACATGCAAGGAGTGCCATTTGTAATATCTAAAGAGTTAATTCTATTCGAGACAATGGAGTCATACATTGCACAAATGACAGAAGCTGTGGATTACCTTACATCGAAGTTAACGTTGGATGATATGGATTATAATTTTAATTTGGAGAACAGTATATTGCAAGTCGATTAAACTGCTGTATGTATTTCCCTAATGCTTTAATGTTTGTTATTACAATCAAATTAATTCTTCTCACCTGCCATGTTGTGATACTATTATTTTTATATTTAAAGTAATGCATATACTCATGATGTAAATTCGATATATGTTTTAAAATATGTGAAAATATGATTTAAAAATTAAGTTTTAATAATAAAATATGTTTTGCATATTTTGTATTTTTAATTTTATCTTACAACAACAAGCTTACAGTTACAAACACAGATACGATAAATAAAAATGGGATCCATGTTTTTAAGACACCGCCAAAACTGCAACAATAATAATAATATAGTAAGTGCTAACTTTATCATTTCTAGTTTACTATAATATGTTACCTAACATATTTTCCGTATAATAGAATCAGAAATGCTAGTTTAACCATATTCCAACTTGAATTATCGTAGTTCATTATGTTTAAGCATCTTGCAACATGAGAGTGGCAATTATCACACAATAGATTATGCTAAAACAAAGAATAATTGAATATATTAATTAGAATATAATCCCAAATTGTCCGGAGTAGTTCTAGAAGTAATATTTGTCCTAAATTCGTACTGGAATGCCCATTTCAATATTTGTTTTCAAATATAATTATTTTTACAAAATTTAAACTAAAAAAAATTGTAATTTATAATCCTAAATTCTCCAGGACTGTTCTAGAAGCAATATTTGTCCCAAATTTGTGCTGAAATGCCTTTTGCAATATCTGTTTTCAAATAGAACTAGTTTTACAAGATTTGAACTAAAAAATTGTATTATCAGAATTCTTTTTGAAATAGACATTGATAAAACAAACATTTCTTACTTAAATTAATTAAGAAGAAAACTTTACAGAGTTTTATAAGTTAAGACCAAAAAAGAAATGAATCTACTGAAAAGGATCCATAATTCAAAAAAATATTAGCAGCTATGTATTCAGAAATCCCAATTAAAATAATTTCTGGAAAAAACACAACTGATTTTTATTAAAGTATGCTCAAAAACTTAATATGAAAAAATAGGACTATCTTAATATAAAAGAGTCCAAACAAATCCTCTGGCTTTTAGATTCTGTAAATATTATTTACAATTATGATCTTTATCATTTACCATTCGAGTCCTATAAATATTGCAGCCCTCCTCCACACCTTTATCAAAACCGCTTTGCCATTATTGGCTAAATTAGGATTCAGCTGCCAATATTTTGTAGGATCCCCGAATGCCAGTTTTCTTTCACCAATAGTATAAGGCCCGGCAAAATCATATATGATTCCATCACTATTCGCAATGCCATGTGCCCAATAAATGGAAGAAGCCATCTAAAAGGTAAACAATGGAAAGCCCTTTGATACATTACTACCACAAAATTTGATGTGATATTCATACACATTATAAAATTTTAAAGTAGAAATTATAAATGAATACAAACGTTAGAAGGGGTATCGGGGTCCAAACAATGCAATAAGGGAATAGTTGCTTTTCTATATCAATTGTGTTGGAACTTAGAGTAGATCCATCTAACGAATTATGAGAGGATTTTGCTGAATAAGCCATCACTAGTAAATATATAAAATGTAATATAATTTGTTAAAAAATGCAATATAATGCGATCAGTTAAAAGTTAATAAATTTTAATATCATGGTTTTGGCTATAATTTGCGTATGTTTTGTTAGTTTTAAATTATATTAATTGTGTATTTAAATTTATTAAAGTGACAAATTAGAAACTGTCAAAGAGCTGTCAAAATTGACAGCTACCAAACATGTAATTGGATTCCATGTTTTTTTTTTATTAAAACAAATCTAATAAAGCATGTCTTATTCAAATAAGCAGACTTTTATTAATTATTAATTATTAATTAATTATTTTCTGTTATTATTAAATATATTGTAATAAATTTTATTTAAAGTTTGTTTTTTTTTTATAAAAATTAATTATTTTATCGTTGGTAGCACGTAGTAACAAATGACAAATGAATGGCTAACTTCACAAAGTTTTCATTCTTGCAATTAAATTGTAGAAAGCCGAAATATTTTACATTATATTAAAAATATTGTATATTTAAAACAAATGTTGAATAAAAATTAAAACTATTTATGGCCATGGCTTATTCAACATCATATCAAGAAGATTTTGATATGAAAGAAGAGCCGTTTTACGACGAACAAGAGATTGATGAGAATGATTATGGTTCACGAAATCAAATTGACGGCAGCGATGAAGGTAAATAAATAAATTTTGTATACAATATGTATTAACTATTTATTACAAAATTGTTTAATTTCTTTCCTAAAGACACTGAAGAGGCTAGTGAGACCGATATGGGTAGAAACGACGAACCGATGGAAATTAAAGAACAGTAAGTATCTGGATTCCAAAGAACCCCTATTTTCAAACAAAATCTAAACCAAACTTTATATTTAGAATGTACCAGGATAAACTAGCAAGTTTGAAGAAACAGTTGGCTCAATTAAAAGACGGATCTCATCCAGAACTTAATAGACGATTTAGAAAGACTGGAGCACCAATATAAAGAACGATTAAGACTGAATGATGTCCATAGGTGAGAAGATTTACACAATTTATACTTTATTTAAGTACAAATTTCAATGTATTTTTTTTAGGGACTATATGGTTGAATGCGTTGAGCGTGATTACTTATTGGAGCGTGATGCTGCTACCAAAGAATTCAAGGAGAAGAAGGAAGACTTAAAAGAAACCTAATAAATGATTTTGAAGAAAAACGTAGACAAATAGAACAAGATAGACATTCCATGGAGTTAACTGGAGATTCCACTGAAGTAATTTTTACTATTAAATTAATTTTCAACCACAAATTGCTCTATTATAACTTTGTTTTTTATCAGGTTAAACCTGTAATGACACGTAAGCTACGCCGCAGGCCAAATGACCCCACCCCAGTGCTATTGGAGAAGAGACGGAAGCCTCCAACAGCCCAATTAGTGTTGTTATTAGACGACACAAAGAGATTGAGATGGACCTCAAACTCATAGCCAGAGGAAAACCATTGCAGAATTTGAGTAATGGGAATAATAACAACAACAGCAGAGATAGAGATCGGGAGAGTTCTCAAAGAAGGACACAATCAGGTATGGACAATTACATAATTTTATTCACAATTTGTTGCTTGATAATTAATTTACCATCACTTATGTTTTACAACATAAACCTGATTTGTGAGCAATAATCGAGGTAAAATTCACAACACTGCTCTTTTTGTACCACAAATTGAAATCCAGCTTTGTCCAAATGTTTCAGCAATCATTTTACTTTGTACATACATCAATTACTCTGTATGTACTCTTTCAGTTTCTAATATATATCGCAGAAGACTGCGCAGCTCATTCTGGAGATGCTTAGGAGAGAAGGGGCCCAAAGTATCTTTACTATTAGAAATATACATTTATCTTTCATCACTAACAGCCTTATATGTTTAAAGTAGTATCTAATACTTATGTATATGATACCATCATAAGTTTCTGTATTGTGACTATTTTTTTTTTATTAAAAGTATATATTTAACATGCATAGCATGCTTATGCAGTATTATTATAATTTTGTATGGCCCAAAATAGATATGCTGATGAAATCGCTTTTATGGCACCAGTTAATATGCATGTTTGTTTGTTTTGCTAGAGGCATAAATATTTTGGGCCAAAGACTAGTATTTTTTTATTATTTAAACAGAACTTTGATATTAATAATCTTAGATTATGTATACATTTGAGAGATATTTATTTTTCCCTATGAATTGAGTTTCATCTTGAAGAGTATAAAGAGTATATATCTTAAAGAGTATTAATATTTATGGTTATTGTTAATTAAAAATTATTTCTTTGCTTAAGTTTTGTATGGATTTTTTATGTTCTGTGATTTTGGTTTGTGTAAAGAATAATATTATTCATAAAAACAATCCTTATTTGATGTGTGTGTTGATGTGGTGTTTCAGGTGTTATTAGCAAACACAAACTAAGTTGCCGCAATATCGGAATAGGTGTTGAATATATCACATTGTTTCATAATTTAAATATTTTATATATTGAACGGAACTTTCCGTCTTTTTTTTATTATTCCCCACGTAAACCAAACTAAATCTAGATTTATGTTGCATTAATTTTTGCTACGAGGGTCGTCTATGGACTCTTTGTGTACGAATGACGCCTATATCCAGCCTGAAGAAGTTGTTTCGAAATATTTATATATCGTCATATTTATATTTTGTTCTTTATAGTTATATTTAGTTCTTTAGATCGTAATTTTATTTTTTTATACTTTTATGATAATGATTTGAAAATTTAATCGTATAGGCTTGCTGTCTTAGCAGTGTCATTTATGCAGAAAACACTCTCATAACGAAGAGGTTACATGATATTTCTAATGAAGCAATAAATTTTTACCATGCTCTCAAACTATTTTCATATAAAATCACATTTAAAATAAATCAGTTTGAATTCGATTTTGTGGGTCAAAGAAGACGCACAGACACATATGATTTTTGACTACTAGGGATCAAAATAAGATACTTTGCTGAAGAAA